CTTGAAGGCTGACCCGTCTGTATAAATATGGGACATTCCTTTTTCACTGTCTCTTTTATGAGGGAGGTTTTGATGTTGGCATTCTTGATGTTAGTGTTTGGGGGGAGTTCTGGTCTTAAAGGTTTCAGCATTTCTCTGTTACATGGAAGATGGTGTTTTTCTGCTAGTTCAGTGGCTGTGTCAAGTATGAGGGAAAATTTAAAAAATGTGCGAAAAAAATACCAACCAATTTCGACCAAGAGGTAATATTACTCTAGATCTATCTAATCTAGATTTTAGATCTATCTAGATTGTAGATCTAGATATCTAGATCTAGATATCTAGCCTGAAAGAAATGGAGACGAAAACTGGCCGACAATTAGTAGATCTAGGCTATCTTTACAACATTACAGAGGAGGCTACAGAAGGCCAACAAAGTCTGAATTTTGGAATCGCGGCCAAAACCGATAACTGCAGTCTATAAGTTGGTTAATCCTAGATCTAGTCACAGTAAAAAAGTGATGGTGTCGTCGGTGTTTTTGTATTATAAGACTATAAATTAGTGTGGTGTCCTCACGTCGTCACGTAGGCCAGCATTCATCAAGACTGACTGACAAAGTCTGACTGATGAAGTTGACGATGATTTTCTTACAACATATTTGACTACGTATGACTCTAATCATATCGACTCTAACAAGGTGTATAGATGGAAACCAATAAATGTAGGAAAGAGAGAGAGAGAAAAGATGCTCCTGTAAAACTTACATTTTCTGTTTCAAAATATACACTATCAGGAGACGACCTTCAGCAACCAAACGAGATCCAGGCAGAGGCAAGGAGGCGTTGCCAGGAAGATATCTTGTGTACCGCAAAAACGCTATGATAAATACCGCTAAATCGTGAATGAGCTGTTATCATGTTAGTAAGTAATGTCTTTTATAAATTTGTTTTTTTTAATCCGTTAAAATAAATGATTAAAATCAGCTTGAATAAAACCAGTCAAATTTTCAATCTCTGAACTTCGCTTAGAGGGTTTAGGCAATATTGATGCAATACAAAAAAAAACATGGCATACAAATCACAAACGTTCACAAATTCATAAGAAGAAGAGAAAGTGATACACAAGCCACAAAATTTATCAGTACTGTAAGTGCGAACAAAGCTTCGCAAGACATCTTATGTTAATCAATTAATAATTAATTTGTCAAAGAATATTCAGGACTTCAGTTTCACGAAAGATTCTTCAATAAACTTGGAAGCCAACATGGCATACCTCGGCGGAAGTGAGGCACGTGTTATGGGAGGCTACTCAGATAATTAAAAGATCTAGGCCTATAGATCTAATCAACAAGGTCGTTTCCCTTTACGACCAAAATTTTCGACTTCACTGCGGTGTGTCTTCTTATCGGCTCAGCCTACTGTCATGGAACTGGCGGAAGCTGTGGATAAGCGCACAGATCGCTAATATCGTAGTATGGGGTGTAAGTTACAATAGAATATACAATGCACTGGCAGGAGTTTTTTTTTCAGGTCTCAGGTCTGGAGCAGTCAGTGACGATCATGATAGATCTAGACTCTAGACTAGACTCTAGAGATCTACCGTACCCAGGTCTCAGGTCTGGAGCAGTCAGTGACGATCATGATGGATCTAGACTCTAGACTAGACTCTAGAGATCTACCGTACCAGTACCCTATTCCTTCCCATTGACGTGTCCTCTGAGTCTGAGACTAAACAATGCCCCCCCTCATGTGCCAGATGCCAGATACATAACATCCCGCTTCCGTAATATCAGTAGATCTAACCCTAATTAGCCTTGGATGATACCAAAAGCATAGATTCTGTAAGGACATGTAGATAGATCTAGATCTAGATCTAGATTCTAGATCTAGAATCTATATCTCTTACTCTTTTTTATTATTAAAAAAAATTAAATAAGGTGCTGTCTTTCTTTATTTTTAGATCTATATCTCTACAACCACTGGGGCATTTTAACTAACTAAACAATAGATCTAATCTAGATTTAGATCTAGATCTCCCCCCCCCTCCCTTAAAAAGCACCAACTTTCATTTTCTTTTTTTTTTAAAACCAAACTGCAAATCATAACAAACTGCTCCCTGTAGTGTTACAAGAATACTGGAAAATAACAAAAAGCAGTGTAAAAGTAAAACCCTGGATATAAAAAAAAAAAGTTTATAAGGAGACTGTTGAGAATGAAGAATGTCATGGCTAAAAATGTCAAACAAAGAATGGCTGAAGAAAGCAATGGGAGGGGGTGGGGGTGGCAGAGGGTTACTATAACAACGATTAGGAAAATACATTTTATGTAGTTCACTGCAATCAATCTTATTCGACATCAAAACCTTTAACACTTTACTATCAGCAGAAAAAATAAATGGCAACAGAGACAGAGGTAGACTAAGAATAATTTATAGAAGTTGAACTGATGGGTGACGCAAAAAGACCAAGGCAATTAATAAGCCTGTACAGTTATATACAGTGGAATCCTGTTATAACGAGAGGGGAGCGGAGCAAAATGTCCGTTATAGCAGGATTCTCGCTATAAGGGATCCAGTAATAAATTCAAGGGAAACTGTAAGGTAGGCCTAATCTATGAGTTTGGTGTTCTGTATATTTCCTTTTGCTTTCTCCCCTGATGATGATTTTGTTTCAACGTGACCTCTAGGTCTTACTTGAACTTGATGAAAAATCGAACCAGGTTTCTTTCTCTAGCGCTAGATCTAGTGATGTTGACTGAACAGCTCGGCGTTGGCGATCAGAACGAAAGGGCTCTAGGCTAACTCGCCCGCTGTGTTTTCTCCCACCCCACCACACCCTGTGGTGCATTCCGTCAGCTTGCACACGTCTTACATTCGCTCCATCCACCACATTGCTATGACTTCTCCATCCCCGCATCGGAGAACTGAGAGACATGGTAGGATTTGATAATCTAAACTAGGCTTACGCTGGCCTATCACGCGATGCGTTTTGCTCGTCTGCGCATGCCACACCCTCCCTACTCAGTCGCTCTAGCCTTCATTGTTGACGCATGTGGGCCCTCTCATTCTTTGTTTTTTTTACTAGATCACCAACAAGTTTCTCAACAGGTGAGGTTTTACATTATGTATAATTGGCCTATGCACTGTGCACAGCAGCAGCAATATTCCGCTATAACCGACTCGCGTGTTTGTCTGACTGCGCCATAGCAGTATTTTATTTACAAAGGTACAGAAGAGAAAAAAAACGGGGTTTTAAAAGCGCCTTTATAAACGACTTCTCGTTTTTTCCGGATTCGTTATAAGTGGATTCCATTGTATATGGTACAGTTGTTTTTCTTTTTCAGAGCATATGCGTGTACCGGTGCATGCACCTAATATGTATAATAGTAATAGTGGATCTATAATATCCCATTGGAGATTTAAGATGCGAACTATGATCGCTGATGTCTGTTTTAGAACTGGCCCCCGACGAAGAAAAACAAGAATTATGGAGTACATTATCATGATCATAACAACCAAGGCCGGAAGTTTAAGGCTGATATTAGTGATATTTTTCTTCATTCTTCATTGTTATTTCAACAGTTTGAATGGTCTATATCGTCATGATTGATTAATACCGCCTTACAAATTTTATTAGATAGATAGATAGATAGATAGATAGATAGATAGATAGATAGACAGACAGACAGAGAGAGAGAGAGAGAGAGAGAGAGAGAGAGACAAGAT